ATCTAATCACTCCATGTCATATATATGAGTTAATGGATGTACTAAGAGTCCAAGGTAATAGGAAATATGCTGGAACAAACCTGCTGGAAGGGGAAGAAGACTGCACTAATTTTCTAATCTAACAATAAAGGGATTCAAAAAAGATGACTTTCCACATTGAAAAAAATACTCTAAATTTCTATAAAGTATTAGAATTTTGCCATATCAATATCAGTCAGTAATTGGTACTGTAATATTCTTTGATGTTAACATCACTGAGATACTGATTATCTATAAGGAAAGCATGCCAAGATCTGTGTATTTGATGTCTCTGTTTTCCACAGGTCCTACCTGGATAGAGTCTGTAACTTGAAAGGCATCCTGTTGACTTCAGAGAATTTTAAGTTGTGTGAGACAGTCACTGCTGTCTCCCAAGAATAACCCAATATTCTCACATAGTGAATTTATACTATAAAGGGATTTGTCCATGCACTTAAGCAAAATGTTTTCCCATTTATTTCAAATACTGTGCATGAAGAAAATTGTTGTAGGTATAATCTTCTCTACTTATTTTTTTTTTATATATAAATGGCGTGGTTAAGAGCATAGTTCCTCTAAAATCTGGCATATAAAAGAAAGTTTGATTGCCAACAACACATTACTGACATACAAAAGGGTCACATAATGCAAACTACATAAGCTATAGCTGCTGCTCACTCAGATAGGTAACTTGGGAAATATTAGATTTCTCTTTTAGACCATTATTCCAGCAATATACAAGCGATTATCATAAGGATCACTTTTAAAAGAGTATAAAATTAGACATTGGGTAGAACTTTAGAATTATAAAGTTTAAGGGAAAAACTTAAAACGGAAACAAAAATGAAGAGAATATAAGAAAAGCAAGTCAGCCATCTCTGGTTTCTTTGAGTTATCCTCTCCTACTTGGACTAAACCTTTTTATTAATTAATTAGTAAGTATTCTCAAGTGCTCCTTGATAACTAAAGCTTCCATTATTCCTTACTCACCTTTCAAATCATTGTTCTCTTCCTTTTATTGCTACCATACATCTTGAAAGAGTTGTTCCCTCTCACTTTATTTCCTTCTTCCCTCGCTCCCCACAAATCTATGTACACTGCTCTTCTCAAACTGTTGTCATGAGGACCATGGATAATCTCTGCTCTGCCAAATTTAGTAGACATATTTTTCAACATTTATCTTGCTCAACCTCTCTGTGACTTCTGGAAACACTAACTGCTTACTCTGTTTTGAAATTCTGTCCTCCCTTGCCTTCTGGGGTGCTGACTCCTGACTTTCCGACTTTTCTGCCACTACTTGCCAGTAGGCACTGTCCCCATCTACCCTGTGTTGCTGTATTTCAAGATTCCTCCAGGCACAAGTTTTCTTTTTCTAATATGCAGGTTGAGTGATTTCATTCATTTCCATGACTCTGGCCATCACCAGTATGCTGACACGTACATCTCCAACAGAGTTCCTGACATTCTGACACGGCCATTTTGATTAAGCCTTGAGAACAAACCTTTTCATTTTGTCTCTTAAAATACTCAAAACTGACAGTCTCATCCTATAGCTGAATTTTGTTCCCTAAAATGAAGTATGTTTTATTTTTGAATTCTCCAGTAACTCTTCCAGAAAAAAAATAGTTTATAGAAAGCTTTAATGCAACTTTTACAAACAATGATACTCCAATTCCTACTATGAAGTTAGCAAAATCTGACAAAACTAGGCCAATTCAAGTTGAATATGAAGTACAAACATACCCTGACTGTAAGTAGAATTTCAAAATCCCAATATTAGCAATTTAAATTCAGCATTATGTTAAATGTATGGTTTGTTCAGTAATGCTACAAGAAAAAACATGACCATGTAAATAGATGCCTAGTAGTCATTTGATAAGATTCAAATTTTTCTCCCAAGCTCAGACTTGGAAATCAAACAGAGCAGATCTAGAGTTAAAGGTAATTCACTCCTCTAGTTGCTTTGTTTCCATTGAACAGGTCAATTAACTTTTTCTGGGCCCTTATTTCACTACAAAATGGATTTAACTTATCTTAAATCTCTGGTTAAAAATAACATGCCATCTTTTCCTTGCCAAACATTTTTCATTCTTGGAATTACAAATTTAACATTTGCTTTTCACACCAGACTGAAGCCACCTTAAAGACATGTATCGTTATTCATGTGTAACAACATTTGTAGAGTGCATGACCAGTTACAGAATTTGTGAGACCCAGTGCAAAGTGAAAATGTTCAAAAATAATTAAGAATTTTAACACAGTGACAGCAGAGTAGTAAACAAAAGAGGGGTTCTTCAAAGCACAGGCTCTGCAGAACTACATAGAGCCCATGTCCCTAACATTATCTTTGCGTGTGCATGCCTGGGTACATGCATGTGTGTATTTGAAACAAATTTAATATTTGGTTGGAAAATTAAATCACAGGAACTTCAGAAAATATATAGGGTTAGTACAATATATAGAATTCAGATTCCTACCTATAAAGAGTAGTCATATTAAGTTGGACAAAGATAGTACAGTTAATAGGAAAATATTTTCAGGTTAAAAATAATAACTGACCATTTTGACTGCAGATTGTAGAACATTAAAAAGAAATTGGTTAACTTACAACAATTTTCTCTTTAGGTTGACATCATTTCATTTTAATATTTTTCTATTATAAGAATATTATCTTCCCTTTTAAAATTTAATGATAATAACTCATAAAAATTTATATTTGTCTCCTTTTGGCTTTTTTGCACAACTCATTGGTTCTAAAAATGAGCAAGCATAATAATAACTGCTCCATTTCTTTAATCATAAATCATTAGCAGTTTAGCAATTTTAAAAATCCTTTATCCTTTCCCATCTGTGAGATAAATAATTGTATTCAATTAATCAAAATTACAATAGCTAACTTAAGGCTTTGGGAATTTTTACAAATGATATTGATTTTGTGATAGAATTCTCTATAATTTAATGTAGTTAGAAGGTGCATCTATTAACATAATCGTGAAAATCCCAAATGCTTTCAGAATATTCTCTTCAAAAGGCAGTGTCCAGTGAGAAATTTACATCTCTCCTGGAACTCTAAATAATTTTCCCCCAAAGTTTGCTTATGCAAAGGCCCTTATTCTGCCAGGCTTTATGGTGATTGCAAAAAGGAAGACAGATTTCCTCCTGTGCAAGTTGTTGATGGATGCTCTTGTGTCCTGTCCCTGAAATGTTCGAAAACAGAAGAAGGGAGGAAAAAGAGCAAGACATGAGTCATTACATGCCTCCATGCTTCTGTCAGAGATTTAAATAACTAATAAGTAACCCAGGCATGCTTTGTTATAGAATTTATATTCAACAGTCACTTCAGCTTCATCTCTCCCTACTCCCTACTCCTCATTTATTTCCAAAAAAAAAAAAAAATTGAAAATTGTTGGCTTTTCCCATTCTGTTCTGTCTCCTGGTCTCATTTGTTTCCCTTGTCTCTTCTACTTTTCTTCTAGTTCCTTTCTGCCTTCACTATACATTTTCTACTTTTGTCCTAATTCTGCTAGGAACTCTCACATTTACTTAAGGAAGTCTCTGATTCCACCCCTGTGAAACCAAATGAGAAAATGTTCTACCTCACAGGAAGTTTTGCATATTTGGGGACAATATATGTAAAATGCTTAGCACAATATTGCCACAGAGCAATTTTCATGCCATCATTCTCTCTCATGTTGTCAATTAGCAATACTGAATGCCAACCATGTGCTGACACACTGTTTTAAATGGAAGCAAGCTTCCCTGGGCACAGGGAAGAAAAGGCCGATATGACTGCAGCATAGTGAGGTTGAAATGGGTAACAGGGACTGTGGTAGGATCCCATCACACAGGGCCTTGAGGACCTGGTACACAGTGGGAAGTGGCCAGAGGGTATCATGCCTCTCTGAGAAGGGGTTTGGGGAGAGAGGGAAAGCTGGAAGATTCCCTGGACAGCCTTTGTAGTCATCTGCCAGGGTGTATTTGGAGGTGGCACTGAGACGATTTGCCAATAAATTAGTTGTGGGGAAAAAAAGACAAGATGAATCAAAAGATCCAAGTTTCAGGCTTGAGTCAGTTGTCTAACTCTCTAATTCATTGTTGTTTTCTTTATCTCCCTCCTCATTCTTTGTCTCTTTTCCTTGCTGCACTATTACAGAAGCTCTTTACCAAATCCAAGTTCATTCCTGCTCATGTGTCAATTTAGAAGTCACAACTCCAGAAACCTCTTCTGAGTTCCCCACTGTGGGGCAGTGGCATGCCCACATGATGTCATCCTCCTCCCAGCATCAATTTCTATATACTTGTACTGTTTGCAAGGTCTTCCTTCTAACACAAGTATTCTCAACATGAACTTTGGAGCCAGAATGTAGCAGGTTTTTTTGTCTTAATTCTCTCTAAGTAAACTGGCATATCACTTAAGGAAGTGTCTGATTCACATATGTGAAGTGCAAATAAGAAAATGTTCTACCTCATAGAAAGGTTTGCATGGGACAATATATGTAAAATGCTTAACACAATATTTGGCACAGAGCAAATGCTAAATAAACAATAACCTTTACTCCTATCATTACTGGTTTACATAACCCAACTTCATTTAAGCAGGATTTCTGCAAAATAGTATCAGAAACAAAACTAAAGCAGGAAATACTTGGGTAATTCAGGTCTAAGAAGAAATTAACTCCTCAATGACACACAATCAAAATGGATAGTTGGAATTATTAGCCATCCATGTCAGATACGCATGTGGAAGTTAGAGTAATTTTCCATGTCCTCCACTTTAGTTGAGTTTTGATTATCTAAAGGTAGCACTTACCTACCCGATTAGATGGGGCCGCAGAATTGTTTTTCCTTAAGGTCCCACCTGAGCAGGTACATGTACAAAAGAGAGAGAAAGAAACTGATTAGAGAGATTGGAGAGGCAGAGGGCGTGATCCTCTTAATCATTCTTCACTTCCTTTTTTTTATAAGATGACTTGGCAACGTCTGTCACATCCGCGGCAGAAGCGGCGACGCCTCCTCTGTGGCGTCCGCTTGCAATTGCCCAGCTTTCGCCTTGCACATTTGTGGTTTTCGGGGACACATTAACAACCAATGGTTTTAGCTCTCGGTGGCCCAAGAGTTGCCAAGGCGGTTAAGAGTCATCTGAAAAGTCTTTTACCCTGAATCGCTCTGAATCAGAAGGCCACCTGATTTCTCCTGCGGTACTTGGCAAATTTGCACCTCCCTCTGGTCCTGGTCCAGGTTCATGGGAAGTGCTAAGGAAGAACACGGGAGCCCAACAGTGAGGAGATGGTAAAGGCGTGCAGAGGATAAACTTAAAGACTGATCCTACAGATCAAGCCGAAAGAAGAAACTGAAAGTACACTGCCGGCTGATCCTACGGAAGTTATGGAAAAGGCAAAGCACAGAGCCAGGCTGTGATGTGTGCCGCCCCTCCTGGGATGGATGAAACAACAGGCGCGCCGTGGGTGAAAGAAACCAGCTGCAGAGACTGGCCTATCCAGCGCGGACTTGTGTCAACTCCGCGGAAGACCATGGTCCTGGAAGTGATTATGGGTGAGAGCGTGCTCCTGCTGCAGTTGCGGTCATCATGACTACGCCCGCCTCCCGCAGACAATGTTCCATGGTAAGCGCTCTTCTCCCGGGCGCACAAGTTCGCGCGCCAGGCGCGCCTGGGGACTCCCGGACGCTCTGCGATTCTCCCCACCCCCCCAGAGCCCAGGCACGTCCGGGAATAGCCCGGCTTGTACTTTGGACCTGCAGAGAACACTGCCTCTCCTGTGGTCAGCCGCTACCCACTCCTGAGTACAATGGTCCGTAGTCATTTGCATCTGGGTTTGCTGTCCCTAGCGAGCTGTGAAAAGCAGTCCCGAGGCTTACCTTCTGTCCCGAGACTAAGCGCTGCAACCTCCGCGCCGCTCAGCAGGGGCAACCTACAGCCAGATGTCAGAGGTAGACAGTGACTTCCAATGAAAGTCTGTCTGTCCCTAGCCAGCTTTGCCCTGGGCGAACACTGAGCCAAACTAGCCTTACCCGTGCTCCAGGCAGCGCGAAGTTACTCTCAGGCAGCCTGGGTTCAGCGAGTGAGTAGCTGGGCTCTTGCAGCTCCGAACTTCCTAGAGAACTGAAAGCGAAGCTCCCTTGGGACGCGCTTTTAAGCCCTAAGGGACAGGTCTCCGTAAAACCCCGTTTTTCCCCCTCAGTGGGGCTGGGAGTTTCCATCTGGGGCTGTACCCTGCGCTGTTTGCTGGGAACTCAAGTCCTGCAATTTGCATTGAAAATAGCCAGACGTTGCTTTGTCCTATATGCTGCATCCTTGATGGAGGCAGGATTAAACAGACTTCCTTCTAAATTCCAAACCCCTGATGATATCTGCTAGATTTTATTTCCGCGGAATAAGGACTTAAAACGGAGAGGGACAGAATTAACGTGGGTTGGATCCCATTTGGCAGCCGTGTGGCTAATGTAAGGGTCTCATATAAATAAATTAAAAATACTGGAATTAAACAGAGGAGAAAGATATGTGAGAGGAGAGGATCTACTTAGGGAAACTGGCATGTTTTACCATAAGCACTTCATTAAGCTAGAAGACCTGTGGGAGAGGGTGGAAGAATAGGGAGCCAGCTTTCTGCTCTTCCTTTGGATGGTCTGTGTACTTCCGAGACTATTCTGTTAGATCAAGATTCGTTTCCCCTCTCATAGATATTAAAACACTTAGAATTGACATAACTAGGGGAAATAGCTCAGTAACAAAAAAAAGGGGGGGGGAGGAGGAGCATGAGATAATATCAAAGACAATTATGGATTTGTTAGAAAAGTGCTCCAGAAGTTTTAATGTAGAATTAGAAATGGAGCTGTATCTGTTTTCTCCATGCAATGCCCTTGGTTTCACCTGCAATTACTTCTTTCTGGTTCTCTCCTGATTCTAATCCTTGAATTACCTCTTATCAAAAGTAGAGACATAAAAAGACAAAAGAAACTCAGGGTGTATACTTTTAGTAAGGAAACTTTATTTTTGGATGTACATCTATATGAATGCATCATAAACTACTAATAGCAAACAAAATATTAAAATTCTGAACTTGTGTTATAATGTAATTATTATATTGAGTGGTTTTCTACATCTTGATTCCAAGTGATTTTTATGAGACGTTCAAACTCCAAGACTATACATAGGAATACTGTTTACATCTCTTTCTTTGCTCTTTCTTTTGAGGGGTGAAGTAGAAAAGACCAATGTGGTGATGCCCACCTGTGATTCCAGCCATTTGGGAGGCTGAAGCAGGAGGAATGCATGTTCAAGGCCATCCTAAGCAACTTAAGGAGACTCTGTCTTAAAATTTTAAAAAAATAAAAATAAAAAGGACTGGAGATGTAGCTCAATGGTAAAGCAATCCTGGGTTCAAATCTCAATACCAAGGAAAAAAATAATAAGAAGAAACACCCCCAAGATGTGTTAGAATGAAGAGGATAATCAGAAAGAAGTAATTGCATTAGAACCAAGGGCATTGCAAAAAAAAAAAAAAACAAAACATGGAAACAGCTCAGTTTCTAAGTAGATGATGACTCACTATGTGATCCTCAACTATGCAATTGGATTTGGGTGAATTCTTCATATTTGAGGACAAAAAATAGAATAGTAATAAAAGCAGAAAACCAAAATGATTAGAATAGGTACAAAGGGAATTTACAAATCACACCATATCAGTGTTTAAATGACTTGAAAATAGAAAAGATTATTTTGTAGGACCAACTCAGATGTCTAATCATATTTATGTGTTGAGATCTTTTTTTTTCTCCTAGTCTCACTCATATTACCTACTCAAATAAAAGCAAATATTTAGTATCTTTTTGAGATAAGGATATATGATACAGTTTCTGAGCTTGGCCAGAAATTACCTTGGTGAAGTTTTTGCAGAAAAGGAAATGAGTCTTTTGCCTTCCTCTTAAACCCATGTATACATTTTTATAGGAAGTGGGGTGCCTCAGTAGCTAAAAGCTGAGTTTCTAGATTCCTTAACCTGAACAAAACAGATTTGAATCTTGGCTCTTACTAGGCACATTCTATATTGGAAAAATGTTCTATGGGCTCCAGATTCTACACCTGTAAAATTTAAATGATTTCTTTTTCCGGGAGGGTTGGACCAAGAATTGAACTCAGAGGCACTTGACCATTGAGCCATATCCCAGCCCTATTTTGTATTTTATTCAGAGACAGGATCTCATTGAGTTGCTTAGCATCTTGCTTTTGCTGAGGCTGGCTTTGAACTTGTGATCCTCTTGTCTCAGCCTCTCCAGCTTCTGAATTACAGGCCTGTGCCACTGTACCCAGAAAAATGTAAATAATTTCTGAGTACTTCATGAAATGATTTTGGAATTATATTCCCAGTGAAAAGAGGTTTGTGTAATAGGCATTCAATAAACACTATTGTTCTTGAATTCTGATAAAAGACTGGATTTGGAGGGCTGTAGAAACAATTTATTTATCTTCACTTTGACCCCATAACTTGAGCAGCTAAGAATTGAATGTATTATTTGGCTTAAATTAAAAACCAACAAGAATTCTTAAACCGCTATCATTCTGTTTAACCAAATTCCCTACTGAAAACAAATTCTCCAATTTCAGTCCCTTCAGGAGATTTAAAGACAATTCCACAAGCCCACACTTGCCTTGCATTGTTCCTTAGGGTTTGTCTTTTCTGTAATCGAATGAAAAGTTCAGGGGGAGGGGGAAGGGCAGAGGCCTATATAGTATGAAACAAATGCAAACAAAATAAAAGAAAGCTGAGTCTCTTTCCCATTGTGACACTGTTCAAAGTCCCCTCAAGCCAAACAATCTCATATATTACTTAAGTATGTAGTATGGAAGAAAAGATTTCAGTTGTAAAACTAACCAGATCTTGAGAGAGCTGAGAATCATTGAGATGTGGGTCTCAGGCCTGGGATATTTTTGCAGAATTGTCCTGAAAGCAATTTTAAACCTGAAGAGTTTCTCTATTTGAATGGCCAGGTAAGACAGAATGAAGGGGCTTAAGAGCTAAAAAAGATTTAAGAGATCATTTAGTCTAATATTTTCATTTAAAAATCAGGTAGATAAAGCCATTCACTCAGTAACACAACCCACTATCCCATGAGGACAGAAGTCCCAGGTGTCTGTGTTTCCAAAGCCTCATGCTTTGTATTGTCCTAGTGTGTGGGGCTAGCTTTTTCACAATAACTATGGTAACAGAAGACTCTCTTTACAGGCAAGACAGATTATGTTTCAGCATTGAGAAATTAGTTGTAGCATCCCAAAGACTGAACTTTCCATCCAACCTCATTGGAAAGAATTGATAAAATGCCATCCAATGAAATAGTAGGTTGATATGAGTTTTGGGAGTAGTTATGACTGAAAATTGGGATGAAGAAGATAGTGCTTATGGAAAATAAAACACCTCATTTTTAATATATAAAATATAGGCCTCTGAAATAACATTTAAGTATAATGGTAAACATATCTCATTTTCACTCTAGCATTTAATTATTTTACTATAGTCTCCTTAAAGTTCATTCTAAATTATGTGCCTTATAATTTTTCCTACTTTGTCTATTTCTCCAAAAGTATAACTTTAGTATACCTGGAAATGAAAAGAGAAATTAAAAGTATGTTTCTCTACGATCTATACATATCCAATACCAGGTCAGAATTAATTGCCAGTAATTAATGAGCAATTCATTACTGTTTGAAGATCTTCAGGAGGAAGAAATGATAGAAGAAGAGGAAGGCGGAACTGAATATTATCACATGGAAGCCTTTTTTATGCAGAAGGCCAATGAAATTACATGTTATCAAAATATTAGGGCTTTTTTTTTTATCAAATTCTGGAAAGACAGTAAACTTAGGTGAATGTCCAAACTTGACACCTACTATACCTCTGTGCTACTTGCAGGAATATATATAAATACTCCTAACAAACATTCCCTAACACCAGCAACCAGCATCTGGTAGATATTTGATTATAAGTAACTAGGATCATAATCACTTGTCTCCTAAATGTATTCTTAGTTACAGTGCATACAGGTAGTTAGTATTAGATCTATGAATAGATTTTGTGTCTCACTCCTGCATTATATTTCTTTATATCAAGTGTCACATGAAGATAAGACATATGATTTAGGCGTGTTCCTTAACTTTTGCCTAGTCTACTTTCTGTATTTGTAAAAATATCAGTCACTAAAAGCATAATTTATCAGGGAGAGTTACTGATTTTTTAAGACAGATGATAACATATACAGTTATTGGAAATTTTATGATGTCCTTAACAGGTTTTAGGCAGTTGTCACAATATTAGTTCAGTGAGTGGAAGGAATGTTAATTGAACTCTTAATTAAGGAAGGTACACATGTGGAAATGCCTTGCACTGAACAAGCACAATTAAAGTTCTTTTGTGAAACTCCCAAGAACTTAACATAACTCAGAGTTCATGGAACAATGCAAACAAGACACTATGGCAGGCTGGTGAAGAAACAGATCAAATTTAATGTTTCTGGGAATCACTGAATTTCCAGTTTGTGTATTTTTACAGCCCCAAATTGCACCATTAAAAATTTCATTTCTTTATATTGTATAGCTGCTTCTAATGGGGAAGACTTATCTAAAACAGACATAATGAATTCACAGGGTGTGAATTTATTTGTTGGGTTTTTCTAAGATGGCAAGAAGCTGAGAAAAGATGTGTTTGAATAAAATGTGGATCTCTGAGTCCATAAATTCAGAAAATAATGAAAAGAAGAAAAGGGAGTATCAAAATACAAGTGTAATTCTATAAGAATTGGGGGCAGGGTAAACCCTTTAAGTTCCATCACTAAAAAGAAAGAACAGGATCACAGTGTAGTGCTGTAGAGATGAACCTCCCACAGTGCTGCCCTCCAGGGAGAAGTCAATGAATATTCCTTTAAGTGTACCATGTTTTCACATAAACAATCCCATGCCATACATCATAAAATTTCAATAATGTGTAGCTTTTTAAAACTGTAGCATAACTCTTTGCCTGCAGATACCTTCTCTTACAAGGATGTTCAACATAAATCCACATTTACTAAGTCATCATTACCCCTATAGTGTCTTTCAAAAGTGTTCTTTGATCTCATCACACCTGTTCTACACTTCCTAACAGAAATTTCTATGTTAACAAAGTGAATGAAGCCTGGTGTGGTGGCACACGGCTGCAATCCCAATGGCTTGGAGGCTGAGGCAGGAGGATCCCAAGTTCAAAGCTAGTCTCAGCCAAAGCGAGGCACTAAGCAACTCAGAGAGACCCTGCTTCCAAATAAAATACAAAATAGGGCTGAGGATGTGTCTAGGTGATTGAGTGCCCCTGAGTTCAATGCATGCTACAAAAAAAAAAAAATGAAACCTAAATTCCAAAATGTATTTCTAGTTTGGTTGCTATATAATTTCAGTGTCTAGAGTTCTTCCCCCATTATTCAGGAACTGAGATACATATTTAAAATTATTAAAAATAAGTGGTCATGCCCATTGTAAAACCACGATCAAATATAACATGACATAACATTTAGCTCATTCTTATTTACTGTTGAATTTAGTTTCTTTTAGGTATATCTTTGGAATTCCTCCCTTGATCCTTGCTCTGTTACCAGTAACTTCATCTGATTGTGATATTAAAGGTAAAGAAGGTAAAGAATTTGAGCATGTTCTAATGATCAGCTTCAATGAATTGGTATGTGCTTTTTTTTGTTTTTCTTACATTTTGCTCATTGGGAAATATCATATATATTTTTGGCATGCCATTTTATAATCAAGTATCCATCTATATTTATGGACAAAAGTGAAACAACTACTAAATAAAATGTAATGTACCAATAACTATATATTTTATTAGTTCCATCACTATATTTTAATGTCCTTTAAAAATAAATCTTTCCTAGACCCTAAGACTCTCACTATCCATTTCAGTCTTGTTACCCTTTATGACCAAATTTCTCATAAGCATAATTCATTATTACTACCTGCATTTCCCCATCTCACCTTTATGGTGTTAGTCTTTGTAGACACATTACATAAGGAGAGGTTGAATAACAGAGTATAACATCTAAAAGTCAAGGTGTAAAAAAGTGTGTAGTTACTTTATCAGAATATGTATACATGCATATATTTGCATATATACTTTGTACATATGCATTATATATAATATCCTGAAAGTTAATTTTTATTTTCTGTAAACACTGTTTTTAATTAATCGATTTTATATTTTAGAGCAGATTTTGATTTATGGAATATTTGAACAAAAATTAGAGAATTTCCATGTACTTCTCCCTCTGCACAGTTTTCCTTATTATTATCACTTTGAATTAGTGTGGTACGTTTGTTAAAATTGAGGAATTATTATTAATACATTATTGAATCAAAGCTCATAGCTGACATTAGGATTCACTGTTTTATTCAGTTCTGTGGGTTTTGGTAGAAGTATAATATCATGTATCCATGAGTATTATATCACATAGAATTCATTTCACTGTTCTAAAAATTGCCTATGCTCCACTGACTCATCCTTCCCTTTCTCCTCCTGCACTCCTGGCAACCACTGATCTGTTTACTGTCTCTCTAGTTTTTCCCTTTCTAGAACGTTATGTAGTTGGAATCATGCAGTCTGTAGCCTGTTTAGGCTGGATTCCTTTACTTAGAAGTGTGCATCAAAAGTTTTTCCATGCTTTTTTTGTGGCTTAATAGCTCATTTATTTTCTTATTGTAGAATAATATTCCATTCAATGGATAGGCTACAGTTTATCTATTCACAGATGGAAGGATGTATCCTGGTTGCTTCCAAGTTTGGGCAATTATAAATAAAGACTTCTGTAAACATACATATGCAGTGTTTGGTGAGAACATTAGTTTTCTATTCATCTGGATAAATATCTAGGAGTCTGATTGATGAATCATATGGTGTGTTACTCAGCTTTTCCTCACTGTGACCAAAATACCTGACAAGAACAACTTAGAGGAAGACACATGTATTTTGGCTCATGGTCCCAGATGTTTCAGTCAATGCTTAGCTGGCTTCATTGGCTTGGGCCTGAAACAAGGCTGAACATCATGGTGGAAAGGTGTGGCAAAGGAAAGCTGCCTAGCTCTTGGTGGCTAAGAAGAGGAGAAAGAAGGAGGGGAGGGAGGGAGGGAGAAAGAGAAGAAGGAAGAAAGGGAGGGATGGAGGAGACAGAAGACAGAGAAGGGGGCCAGGGACAAGATATAGTCCCCAAGGGCATACCCATAGTGACCTACTTCCTCCAACCATGCCCCATCAACCAATAGGTTCCACCTCCTCCCAGTAGCCCATTCAAATTATTAATTTATGAAATGGATTAATCAACTGATAGTGTGAGAGCCTCAGATTCAATCACTTCTCAAAAGCCCCATCTCTGGACATTACTGTGTTGGGAACTTTGGAGGGCCCTTCCAGAGCCAAACCATAACAGATTATAAAATTATGCTTAGCTCTGTATATAACTGCCAAACTGTCTTCTAAAAGTGACTGTACCATTCCACATTCTCCCAGAAGTGAATAAAATCCTAAGGTTGTTCACCCATGCCAGCATCTGGTATTGTCAGAGTCTGGGACTTTTGCCATTGTTGTTTTAATTTACAGTTACCTAGTAATATGATGTTGAACGTCTTCTCAGATTCTTACTTCAATCTATGTATCTTTATGGGTAATGTATATGAACTCACATCTGAACTGACTTCTCAGCAATACTGAGTCTTCTAGCCATATCCTATAACAGCTCTGCATTTGTGTATATCTTTCTTTGATTTCTTTGATCAGAGTTTTGTACTTTTCTTCCTATAGGTCCTGTATTTATTTTGATAGACTTATACCTAAATATTTCATATTCTAAGGCTCTTGAAATAATGATGTTGTGTTTTTAATTTCAAATTCCACTTGTTCATTGCTGATGTGTAGAAAAGCGATGGTTTTTTAATATTAATTTTGTATCATGAAATCGTGTTACAATTGCTTATTAGTTCCAGGAGTTTATTAATGATGGTCTTTGAGATTTCCTACATTGACAATCATGCCATTTGCAAAAGTTAATTTTCTTATATGGTTTAAGAGATATATCAATACAATGTGATGTATTGACTTTTTCATATATAATCAATTCTTTACAATTACACTGAATATCTGCATAACAGATAAACCCTCTCTCAAATATTCATAAAATGGCACAAATTGTCTTATCTGTCCCTTCCTTACACTTTCTCTTTCATATACTTATGTTGAAATGGTTTGATGTTCTGGAAAATTGAGAATTCTGCCTCTTGGAAGAGTCTGGGGAATTCAAGGTAATGTTGAAAGCTGTACCACAAAGATCCCTGATTTTGCTCATTGACAAGAAAAAAAAATGTACATACTAAACAATACACGTGCAATTTATATCTCATACTATTTTTGACATTGTAATAAGTGTTCTTAGAAATCTTTTGATTTAACGTAACATTTCCCATTCAATTTTATTACCTGGGAAGAGGATCAAATAGCATTATTTCAACCACATTTACAAATGACTATATGTGTGAACCAGGGATAGATCCTCCTTTTAAGAAGCTTGCATTTGGGTGGTGCGTAAGTTTTGGTGGTAAAGAATGCAAACAGTAGCTTTAAAAGGAGGAAGAGCAACCACCACCCTATTATTTCAAACATACTGGTTGTAAGCCACATTTGGAAATGAACAGACATACATTGTGGTATAACACAGATCAGTTTCAGCTGAAGGGAAAGTGAATGTTGGTGCATACTGAGCTGATTTCCAATATATTTAGATAGTATACCTTTTAAGTAAAATTTGTTGAGCCTGCTCTTTTCATACAAATTTAGCATTTGTTTATTTAGTATAATATCCTCATGGTAACTTTTGTGTACATTAATAATGATATACACAGAAATAAAATTTATATTAAATGAAGTAAAAAAAAAACTAGATAAAATTGCTAACATTTTCTTCAAGTGGACATAGAATAGAGTTATAGTAGTAAAAATATGGAAATTATTCTAACTCTAATCTGAAGTCCAAACAGGACACAGGATAAGAATGAGATTCATTCTTTCTACTTAATGCAGAGGGAAAGAAAGGTTCATAATATATAATAAGGTACCTTACTCTATATGATCTGCCAAGCATGGAGTACAGATTCATAGAATTGGAGTGACTAAATTAAATAGAATCAGCATTTTAGGTTTCTTGATACATGTTGCCAAATTATTTTATGGAAAGTATGGACAAGTTTATAATTCTTATACATCCTGCATATGAGATCATCACTCTTGTCAGTTTTTATTATTTTTATTTTTAAAACCACCTGCCAAAGCAATAGAAAATTCACCTCTTGTTTGAATTTATTTTTTTAAAGTTTTTCTTCATATCTATAAACTTCTAATTTAAAAACTATAAATAAATAAAAAGAAGAACAGTAGAACAGAGGAAAGGGAATCGGGGAGAGGAGAGAAAAGGGAAGTACAGAAGACTGAATTGGAATAAAATTATATCTCATGCTTGTATGATTATGTCAAAAAGAATTCCAATATGATATACAACTAACCATAAGCTCTAATAAAAGTATTTGGCATTGAGATAAAATTTATCCTTTTAAAAATTCACAATTCAGTGGCTTTTAATATATTCAGAAGTTGTATAATCATCATTACTGATTCCAATGTATTTTAATCACCCAAAAAGAAATTCTGTACCCATTACCAGTAATTTTTTATTGCTCCTCATTAGCCACTGGCAGACATTAGTATGCTTTCTGTCTATGAATTTCTCTTTTCTGGACACTTCATAGAAATGGAATCACACAATATGGATCTCTTTAATTGGGATTCTTTGACTGAACATGTTTTTAAGGTTCATTCATGTTATAACAGGTATCTATAATTCATTTCTCTTTATAGCTCAATAAAATTATCTCGTATGGACATGACATATCAGCTTCTGGACATTTGTTTCTTTTTCTTTGCTGTAATATGTAATGCTACTGTAAATATTGGTATGCATATTTTGATATAGTTTTTTTTAAATTTGTACCTAGGAGTGGAATTGCTGGGTCATATTGCAACTGGCCTTTGTTGTTTGGAGATTTTCAATTACTGCTTTGATCTCACTATGAATTATTGGTCTGTTGAGATTATCTATTTCTTCTTGATTCAGTCTTGGTAGGTTGTATATGTTCAGAAATTTATCAGTTTCTTCTAAGTTTGCCAATTTGTTAGCATATAATTGCTCATAGCAGTTTCATTTGATTTTTTATGTTTCCATGGTATCCCTTTTAATATTTCCTTTGTCATGTCTGATATTATGGACTTGGATATTCTCTGTTTGTTCTTAGCTAGTCTGACTAAGATTTGTTATCTTTTAAAAAAAAGCAGCCTTTTCATTGATATTTTGTATTGTGTTTTGGTTTTGATTTCATTTATTTCTTCTCTGATCTTCATTATTTCTGTCCTCCTGCTAATGTGGAGTTTTGTTTGTTCTTGTTTTTTTTCTTTTCTTTTTGCTTTGAGATGTGATACTAGGTTGTTTATTTAAAATATCTATAATATTTGAAAAAAATTCCATGTATGCATTCATTGCTATAAACTCTAAATGATGCTTTTGATAGATTCCCAAATTTTTGATGTGTTGGGTTTTCCTTTGTTTTATGAATTTTCCCCTTTTACAGTAATAA